GGTCCTCTCTCTCCCTGTGGCAGGCTCAAGTTTTAATTGTCCGGAAAGCAGTTTTATCAAAGAACCTACGAAGACCTGGGTTTAATCATCACCTCTAGCTCAAGTCAAGATTCTTCTTTCGGCGTGAATGAATTTCTGCCTCCCAGAGAGACGTTCTTTTCATCCTCTATTAACTTCTTTCCACTTGCTCTTGGGTTTTCTCAAGAATGAAGGATCGGAATTATTGGGTGAAGGTTTTTCTTCATTCTTCCCCTTTGTTAAAAACAAACAAACATCTAGAATTCTTTGTTTTGGGCTCATAGAAAAACAAAGCAACCAAGAATCTTATGCAGCTTTTTCTCTTGTTTGGGGGTGAAAGATAGCAAGGTTTGCAATCCATCGTGATTTTGTTCCGTTGTTGTTTTATCAATATACGAAGGTAGAAAAATGTGTGAGCATAACTGTGGAATAACATAGGCTTTAACGTTGTAACAGAAGAGGAGTTGTCAGTGTGGTATTCCTATACACCAGNCCCCCCCCATGCAATTCAGGATGAGCAAATCAGGGCCAGATCTGGCCATGTCACCCATTTCATTCAGGTGGTCCCTTATGCTTTTGCGGTGGGGAAGACTGGGGGAATTAACAGTTCTTCTGCATCTATCCCATGTTCCCATGCGCCGTTGCATCCTCCCTGCCTGGCTTCAGCTGTCAGTTTTAAACCAGGGACTTTTCTAGCATGAGTGGCTGTGTGACCTTTTACCTGCTTCGAAACAAAACGAGTGCTCAGCACTATGTTGGATTAGTATCCTGCGGGCTGTTAGCACTGTTGTATTTTATAGCTCTCTCAACTCACTGTAAAAGTATTTCACAGTTCTCAAAAACCTCTGGTCCTTTGCCGAGCTGGGAAAGGCTGCGGGAAGTTTGAATAAGCTTTAGGTTCCGAAAATAACTACCCTGTTTCCCCGAAAATAAGACCTCCCCGGATAATAAGTCCAATCAGACTTTTGAGTGCATGCACTAAAATAAGCTCTCCCTGAAAATATCCACTACACTAGTAAACAAAACTAAAGAATGTATTTATATGTGGCTTTAAATGAGAACCTGCCCATTATAGGCCAATGAAATTGCAATAACACTGCCTTAGTTTGCTTTTAAGGCCGGGAGGAACTTGTTGAACTGAATCTGTATTTTTCCTACCTTTTATAACTCTCTTTTTGCATTCCTTAAACATCTAGGTCCTTTTGGAATAAATCATGGCGTGGAGCTTCATGCCGACGTTATAGAATATGCAAAGCAGAAACTGGACTTCTTCATCAGAACAAGTGACAGCTTTGACAAGTAAGATGAGAAAGTCGCTTAGGTTGCATTAAAACAGATTTTCAGAAAAAGTCCAGCCCTTCAGATAGTAATTCCTAGTTCTAGAAGGAAGGGAACCCAAGACAGGCTCATGTACGGTATTTTTCGGAGTATAAGAAGGATCTTCCCCCCCCCCCCAAAAAAAAGAGGGTGAAAATCTGGGTGGGTCTTATAAACTGAATACAGCATTTTTTGCCTCCCGAAACCCCGCCCCCTTTGCAAAAATGGACATGCATAGCCTTCAGGACACTTGCAGAGTGCTCCTGGGGGCTGGGGAGGGCAAAAACAATCGGAAAACAGGTTGTTTGGGGCTCATTTTTGCCTCCCCAGCCCCCAGGAGCACTCTATAAGCCTCCTAAAGGCTATGCATGCCCTTTTTCTGACCAAAAAACGAGCCCGTTTTTGCAAAAAACAGGCCATTTTGGGGAGATCTGCAGTGCAAAAACTGCCTCTTCAAAATCTTGGTGCGTCTTATACTCTGGTGCATCTTCTACTCCGAAAAATATGATAATCCTCATTCAGCAGCCACTTGTTCAGCAACCCAACTAAGCAAAAATCCCCATTCTCCTTGGTTCTTTTTTTAAAAAGTTTTATTATTTATTTTATTTTTCTACAAACACATCGTTGTGTGAACAATATGGAAGCAGACTTCCATTTTAGTACAAATAAAACAATACCCTTCATATTCAACACAATTAACAATCTTATAGACTTTTAGTAGTAATACACATATTTTGTTGAATTATAGTCTTTCCTTAATTATTCAATATTTCAATATATTGATTTTTTTGGCCAACCTCCATATTCTTGAGATCACTTCTTTTACTACAGATAGAATGCCAATAATCATATTTGTTATGATTAAGAAACTTCTATAATTCTAATAGTAATACACTGATTTATATTGAATTATAATCTTCCATTGTTCCTCTTTCTAATTTTTAATTATGCCACTGTTATATTTTTAAAAAGGTCCCCTTTCTAATCCCATTTTAAAACAAAACAATGTTCATCTTAGTTATATTTGAAAAGTTACATAACTCTAATAATATTAATAATACAACAGTAATCTTTCATTATTATCTTATTCAATAATTCAATATGTTGTTTTCATGCCACTCAAATTCTACATATCATTCCTTTTACTACAAATAAAATGTTGATAGTCATATTTGTTACATTTTAACAAACGTGTATGGTGATACTAATAATACATATATTTATATTAAGCTATACTCTTCAATCTTTTGCTTATTCTTTATTTCTATATGTTATTTTTAAAGCCATTACCCTTTTATTCAAACATATTCAAAACTGTCATCATTAAAAGCCTAGGTTTCCTTCTTATTATTAATGCACCTGGAAAATATATATATATACCCTGTTTCCCCGAAAATAAGACCTCCCCGGATAATAAACCCAATCGGGGCTTTTGAGCACATGCGCTAAAATAAGCCCTCCCCGAAAATATTGCAACACCGCAGCATCCATGGGGTGACCACGCTCTCCATCTCCTGCACTGCAAAAATAATAAGGCCTCCCCGAAAATAAGGCCAAGTGTTTATTTTGGGGGTCAAAATAAGACCCTGTCTTATTTTTGGGGAAACCCTGTTTTACATTACCCCCCCTTCTCTAACTTCCCACTCTCTTTGGTTCTGAAAGGTGAAGGGTTGTATATAGTACATTATGGGCTGGCTGTCAGGGTTCTGATGGAAGCCCTAATTAAATCATGAGCCTCAAGCCAAGTTTCAAAAGAAATCCAGTTATTTATTGGGAGCAACATGTTCATTTAATATGTTCATTTTTCTTTTTTGCTGTTATAGCTGTTTTTATGTGGACGGTTATTGTATGTGGGATGACCAGGTCTTATTTTCCTTTGGACCCCAAAATAAGGGCTTATTTTCAGGGTGTGCCTTATTTTTTCCCCCATGTATGGGAGGCCCACTTCTTCTGGTTGCTTGTGGCGGGGCAGGAGGCTGTGCAGCGTCACCAGCGCCACCACCATGAGGCAGGGGAGTGGAACTGCCCCATGCGCCCACACTGGCTCACCCCAGGGCCCCCTCAGCCAGCCTATCCACACCTCGACACCTGCCTGGCCTCGTGGCGGTGACTCTAGCAGCCACATCCCGCAGGGCCCTGCATGACCGCCAGCCCACTTCTGCTTGCTCGCGGCCACAACAGAACAGGAGGCCGTGCGATGCGCCGTGGCCACGAGGTGAGGCAGACGTCGTGGGTGGTCTGGCTGCGGGTCCCGGAGGTAAACTGGCACAGGATGCCTTGGAAAGCTCCGTCGCCACCCCACCTCACCTCATGGCTGCGGCACCGCGAGCAACCAGACAGAATGGCCAGCCAGCCAGCTGCATAGGCTCTTATTTTGGGGGCAGGGCTTATATTAGGCGTGCACAAAAAAAACCATACTAGAGGTCTTATTTTTGGGATAGGCCTTGTTTTCAGGGAAACTGGGTGTAAGCTTGCCAAGATCTTTGGATGGGGCCAGTTATAACAGATATGGGGATAAGAGCACCATAAAGAGATGTTGTCAGTGTCAACTCCTAAAGCATTCCTGTCCTGCTCTCGAGTTGCCATAGGCAGGAGGGGGCAGGTGCCACGGCCGGAAGTAAATTCCCCGCATACCTCCCTCCAGATTGTATCCCAAGTTACCAGAGCTAGCTGGAGAGGCTGTTGTCTAGATTTATTTACAGTGATTTATGACGCTCCCTGGGAGGAGGGGGGGGGAACAGGGTTATAGTTGGGCTGTAAATCACACAGGGCAGAGCTGACTCCACTTGGGTACCTGCTGACATGTTGCTCCCAATAAATAACTGGATTTCTTTTGAAACTTGGCTTGAGGCTCATGATTTAATTAAGGCCTCCGTCAGAACCCTGACAGCCAGCCCATAATCTAACCCTGTGTATATTGCAAATGGACCACTTTGATATAGTGGCTAAGCATCAGGCTAGAAACCAGGATACTGTGAGTTCTAGTCCTACCTTAAACATGAAAACTGGCTGGGTGATTTTGGCCCAATCACTAGGAGACTGTAAGTTCTAGTCCCATGTTAGTTTGAAAGCCAGCTGTGTGACAGTGGGCCAGTCTCTCTCTTTCTCAGCCCACCCATCCTCAAAAGGTGGTTGTTGTGGGGAAACAGGAGAAGAAAGGAGTATTAGGTCGTGACCCGACAAAAGCGCGAACGTCATAAGCGCGCCGACAAAACCGCGGCGCTAAAACCGCGATGACAAAAGCGCGCCGACAACAGCGCGCCGACAGAAGCGCGATTTAAGTTAAGGTAAGGTTTAGGGTTAGGTTTAGGGTTAGGATTAGGGTTAGGGTTAGGTTTAGGGTTGGGTTAGGTTTAGGGTTAGGTTACAGCGCGCTTCTGTCGGCGCGCTGTTGTCGGCGCGCTTCAGGGCTCATTCGTCGCTCTTTCGTTGCGCGGTTTTGTCACCGCGGTTTTGTCACCGCGGTTTACTCAGGCGCGCTTTTGTCGTTCGTGCATTTGTGGTGGAACTGTATTAGGTATGTTTGCCATCTTGAGTTATTTGCGAAAGGTGAGGTTTAAAACTAAAATAAAATAAACCGCTCTCACTGTTGAATTCTCATGCTGTGTTGAAAGTCTCGTTCACCACCCACCTTCCTTCCTTCCGAGGTTTGAGTTCTGCGAGCCGTCCTTTGTCTCTGGAAACTGTTTGGAAATCTCCCCGGAATGCTCTCAATACGATCGTGTGTACTGTGGAGCCGGCGTCCAGAAGGAGCACGAAGATTACATGAAGAACTTGCTGAAAGTCGGCGGGGTTCTTGTCATGCCCCTGGAGGAGAAGGTTTGCTGGTGGGATGGGTGCCTTCAATTGCCTCCGATACTGTTTTGAGTTTGGTAAATTCCATAAAGAGTGGCCGTTATATCCCGTCTTCCAAGAAACAAATGAAAGGGCACCCGCGAAATTAAGCAGATCTGAGATAGCTGGGGAATGGAGAGTGGGAGGCCTAGAGAAGGAGCAAGCCCACTGGGAGAGGGAGAGAGGTACAAAGCTGAAATTATTGGGCCTTTAGTTTGATAGAGAAGAGGCAATTTTTCAGACTAGGACTGAGGGACACTTGAAATTGTATAGTATGCTGGGAGTTGAAGTCCGAAAGTCATCAGGGGGCCATTGTTCCCCACTCTGAGCTATCTGATTGCGCTGGGGAGAGATACCGTATTTTTCGGAGTATAAGAAAGCGTGGAAATGTTAGTGCGTCTTATACACCAAATACAGCCTTTTTGGCCTCCCAAAGCCCCACTCTCGCATTCTGCTTTTGCAAAAAAAATTGGTGGGGGGCTGTTTTTCGCAAAAAAACAGAGGCATTTTTGCCTTCCCCCAGCCCCCAGGAGCATTCTGCAGGCTTCAGCAAAAACACCTCCATTTTTGCGAAAAACGATCCATTTTCCGTCTGCTTTTTGCAAAAATGAGAGTGTTTTTGCCTTCCCCCAGCCCTGCTGAAGCCTGCAGAATGCTCCTGGGGGCCGGGGAGGACAAAAATCTTTTTTTTTCTTACTTACCTCTTCAAAATCTTGGTGCATCTTATACACCGGTGCGTCTTATAGTCCGAAAAATACAGTTGCTTGCTGGAAAGTGCTGTTACGGTGCAGTGTATCTCAACTTTTAAGATACGGGAACTTCAACTCCCAGAATTCCCCAGCCAGCATGCTGTCTAGAGCACTCTGGGCATTGAAGTCCACCCAACTTTTGAACAGTTGAGTTTGAGAAACACTAGTGCAGTATGCAGCATACAGCCTGCCATCCCACTCTTAGCAACTTCCAGGTCTCTAGAGCAACTTCCAGAATTCCTTGGGCCACGGGGCCATGGCTAAGTCTTCTGGGAGCTGAAGTCCGCCGCAACCAGTACGACTGCTGGGTTTTAGGTTTAGCAAGGGTCAACATCTGCAATGTCTGAAGCAGGGAAGTGGGTGGGTGTATTGGGGGGGGGTGGGGGGCAAGGTTGTGTTTGATTATTTCTGCCCCAGCACACATTTCACCTCCTGCTTTTGTCGTTCCCTGCAGCTGACGAAGATTACTCGAACCGGCCCTTCCGCCTGGCAGACCAAGAAAATCTTGGCTGTCTCCTTTGCTCCTCTGATCCAACCCAACCATTTAGATTCAGGGAAGTCAAGACTGGTTCATTTGCGTAAGTCAACCACACCTACATCCACCTCTTTGTTTATGTGCTCGTTCACTCCATTGTGAAGATTGGGTCTAGTGCTTAAGCCCAGAAGCCAGGAGAGGGTGTGAGTTCTAGTCCCGCCTTAGGCATGAAAGCCAGCTGGGTTTCTTTGGGCCAATCACCAGGAGACTCTGCGTTCTAGTCCCTCCTTAAGCATGAACGGCAGTTGGGGTGACTGGGCCAATTGGACGGTGAGTTCTAGTTGCGCCTTAGGCATGAAAGACGGCTGGGTGCAGGGGTGAAATGCTACCAGTTCAGGACAGTTCACCCAAACCAGTAGTAAAAAAATGCTTAACAAAGTTAAAAAAACGTCCAATGATCAGCTGTGCTGTGCGATGGTAGGAACTTTATTTTTACATATTTTCTTTAGCATTTGGGGTCCATTTTTTGCCCAGGAGGCTTCCCTGAGGCCTGCTAGGCCAAAAATGGGGTAGTGGTACAGAGGGAGAGGGAAAGGGAGGGAAAGAGAGAGAGAAAGAGAGAGGGGGGGAGAGAGAGAGAGAGAGAGAGAGAATGGAGTGAGGGATGAGAGAAAAAAGTGAGGGAAGGGCGAAAGAAAGAGAGAGGGGGGGGAAGGGAAAAAGGAGAGGAAGGAAGGACCATAAACCTGGCATTAGACGCAGCTTCAGAGGATACCATGAGAGAACACATCAATCCAGGGCTGGACGGGACCTGGAGGTCATCTAGTCCAACCCCCTGCTCCAGCAGGACATTGTTAAAGTGAGTTTCTGTCTTTTACACCAACATCACCCGGTCACATTCCTACATAGCCACGTCCACCTAGTCACATGACCCCCACCAAGCCATGCCCACAGAACTGGTAGGAAAAAAAATTAGATTTCACCACTGGCTGGGTGTACTTTGAGCCAATCACCAGGAGATAGTGAGTTCTAGTCCCGCCTTAGGCACGAAAGACATCTGGATAACTTTGGCTTACTTTCCATCAGTCGAAACCACCTCGCAGGGTTGTGGGGGAAATAAGAGGAGGGAGGAGTATTAAGAATGTTTGCTGCCTTGAGTTATTCATTAAAAAAAAACAATAAAGTCAGGTTAGAAACAAGCACATCAGACATTGACCACACTCTGTTGCTGAAGTCGTATTTTCTGCAATCGAGTTTGGAACAGTCTACCTTGAGTTTGTATCGATTGTTTGCCCGTGTGTTATTGCGGTTGAAACCGAAGTAGTCGTTGACAGGTAGGACGTTTTAAGCATGCGCAGCAAAGACCCAATGACCAGCTGGCCAGCGGGAGGTTTGTGTGCATGCCAGAGGTGGGTTCCTACCAGTTCGTACCTATTCAGTAGAACCGGTTCGTCAAATCTACCGAACCGCTTAGAAGAGGTTCCACCAGCGGACCCGGAAATCAGGCCACACCTACAGAAGAGGTCCCAAAATTTTTTGAAACCCACCACTGCCACACACACACACACAGACGCACGCACACAGAGAGACAGACAGACTGACACAGAGAGAGAGAGAGAGAGAAAGAAAGGAAGAAATAAATAAAGAAAAAAAGAAAAAAGAAAGAAAAAGAATGAGAGAGATGAAAGAAAACAAGAAAAAAGGGACAGAGAGACAAAAGGAAGGAGAGAGAGAGAGAGAGAGAGAGAAAACACATGGCCGGCAAGCCATTCCCACCAGGTCACATGGTCAGCAAGCCACTCCTACCCAGTCACATGGCTGCGGACCCGGAAATCAGGCCACACCTACAGAAGAGGTCCCAAAATTTTTTGAAACCCACCACTGCCACACACACACACACAGACGCACGCACACAGAGAGACAGACAGACTGACACAGAGAGAGAGAGAGAGAGAAAGAAAGGAAGAAATAAATAAAGAAAAAAAGAAAAAAGAAAGAAAAAGAATGAGAGAGATGAAAGAAAACAAGAAAAAAGGGACAGAGAGACAAAAGGAAGGAGAGAGAGAGAGAGAGAGAGAGAAAACACATGGCCGGCAAGCCACTCCCACCAGGTCACATGGTCAGCAAGCCACTCCTACAAAGGAGGCCACACCCACAGAGTAGGTTCCAAAAAAATTTGAAATCCACCACTGGTGCATGCATGGTGGAGCTGCGTTGGGGCAATGGCTGGCGTGCCCACAGAGAAGGCTCTGTGTCCAGCTGTGGCTCGCGTGCCATAGGTTCGCCATCACTGGTGTAGGGTCTCCTGCTTGGGGGGGGGGGTTGGACTAGATGACCTACAAGGTCCCTTCCAACTCTGTTAAAACATCTGTTCTATCAGTTCAGTGTCTTCTAACCTGAACCAGGTATAATTTCTGGCTCCAACACAGATTCCCTTACCTGTTCCCTTCTCTTCTTTCCCGTCCTCAGCCCCGGTGATGGTTCGCAGCCTACAGGACCTGGCTCGCATCGCCATCCGCGGCACCATTAAAAAGGTGATCCATCAAGAAACAGCCAGCAAAAACGGGAACGGCCTCCGGAACCCACCGAGGTTTAAACGGCGGCGCATCCGGCACCGCCGGATGGAAACCATCGTCTTCTTGGACAAAGAGGTGTTTGCGAGCCGGATCTCCAACCCTTTGGAGGACAACAATTGTGAGGAATTGGAGGAAGATTGCCGGGAAGAGGTGGAGAAGCCGATGCCGGAACTGAAGCCCGAGCCGGCTACAAACATCTTGAGAGAAAAGATTCTCAGCCTTCCTCTCCCGGATCCTTTGAAATATTACCTGCTTTATTATAGAGAGAAATAGGAGCCTTGGGAAGCGTATCGATCCGTCGGGGAGGGAGGCCGGACAATAAAACACTCAGTAGGGCTGACCAACAGAAGGCCACTTGCTTGCCTTTCCACACCAACCACCCCCGTGGGGGTGAGAGCTAAACTGGGGGAAGACGGCTGCCAGGAATTTAAAAACGGGATAGCCTCTTTTATTTTATTTTATTTTTCTCCCCCCAGATCCTTTCCCTTGATTTGTGCGCTCCGGTTTTGTCCTAAGCAGAACTTCCTTGGTGGGGAAGAGAATGCAGCAAGACGATCCCATATTATCTGACGGAAGGGAAGGGTTTCGTTCCCGTTTAAAAAGAAAAATACCTGAAAGGAAAATCACACATTTGCTGAAATACCTGTGAATATCTCTTCTGTTTTTTTCGTTTGTTTGTCCGATCCTTCGTTCCTCCCCCTCTCTCTCTCCCTCCCCCTTCTCTCTCTCCCCCCTATTTCTCCCTCCTTCCCCCTCTCTCTGCCTCTCTCTCTCTCTCTCTCTCCCCCTCCCTCCCTCTCTCCCTCTCTCCCTCTCGCTCTCTCTCTCCCTTCCTCCCTCTCTCCCTCTCTCTCCCCCTCCCTCCCTCTCTCTCTCTCCCTCTCTCTCTCTCTCTCCCTCTCTCCAGGAAGCAGTTTAGCGGGACCCAAACGCCTCGATCGGCCTGCAAAAAAGAAAAAAGAAAACACCCAGAAAATCGTTGCGTCGCATTGGACTCGCTCAGCCTAGCATCTGCAAGAACCCACTGGGAAAATAAAATAAAATAAAATAGAACTCTTAACTGGCGAGTGGGGCTGGGAGGCTGGACGCACGAGGGATTCCTTCCCATCGGATGTCGAAGCAGAGCTTTTGCAAGAACGATTCCCCAGGGAAAATAATCTGGGAAAGAAAGAAATCCTCCCGTAGGATTTAAAAGGAGAGAGAGAGAAAAAAAGCCCTGTGTGGCTTCAGCGAGGACAGTCAAATCACAACACCTTTAACGCCGCAGAAGTCTGACTTTTTTTTTTCTTTTCATTTTCTCGCCTGAAAATTTTGCTGGGTTCAATCACTGCCCACACGGATTTCAGGCGATGGAGAAGGAGACGGGCAAGAGAAGGGAAGCAGTTCCTTCAAACCCACTGGGCCTTCCCCCCCCCCCCAAAAAAAAAGGTCTGTTATCAAGGGGTTGAATCAAATATGTCCCAGAGAAAATAATCGGGCACCTTGTTTGAATTCAGGTAGTTAGTTATCCAAACAGAAAGGGCCTGGATAAAACTACCAGAGGGTGGGATGGGCTCTTGTATCTTTAACCCCCCCACTCTTCTGCTTTGGCAGAAAAGTAAAAACTCACCTTAGGTTCATTTCCCCCCCCTCTTTACGGTAAAGCTTACTTTGGAAACATGGCACAAGACTTCTTAAATGTCCTGCTACACATAAATCCTTATCCTGCAAAGTTTAAGATTGGTTTTTGGGTTGGAATTTAGAGTGAGCCGAAGCCGCAACTCTCATTAACATTTTAGAGGAGGTTGTTTCCCCCCCCCCCCCCCCCCCCCCCCCACCTCTCCCTTCCAGCTGAAATATTGGGCAGAATCATCCGATATTCCCCAAGGGAGCTGGAGGTAGTTTACAGTTTGCTTTAGATTTCCCGTGGAACGTTTTTAAACTTCGTTTAACTTCTCAATATTTGTGGTTTGGCTGCTTAACTGTAAACCAGAGGCTGGGTTTTTGTTTTTATTTTAAGTTGAAATGCAGGCAAGAAAACATATATATTTTTTTTAGCTCTGGCAAGCAACTTTCCTCATTCTGAAGTGTAGCGGTGACGTCCTGCGGATTTACCGGGAGCTGAATAAACCTGTGCTTTGTGATTCCCATCAGGGGAGACACCCCACCCCCCCCCACCCCTAGTCTAGTAGGCATTGCACGTGCAATGTTGTGTTCCATGTTGTGTCCTCTGAAGCTTTTGTGTCAACAATAGCAAACGATCATTTGTAGAGGTTTTTTTCTCGGTAATACAAGTTACGTGCTGAATTCCTTCGGTATCTTCCGTTCTGCTCTGAACGATGCTGTGAATTGTTCGATGCTCTCTGTCGCTTCTCTGGTCTGTTGGGCCTTTTTTGGGCTGTCGTTCTCTTGGGTGGTTTTGACATCCTAGGTCCTCTCTCTCCCTGTGGCAGGCTCAAGTTTTAATTGTCCGGAAAGCAGTTTTATCAAAGAACCTACGAAGACCTGGGTTTAATCATCACCTCTAGCTCAAGTCAAGATTCTTCTTTCGGCGTGAATGAATTTCTGCCTCCCAGAGAGACGTTCTTTTCATCCTCTATTAACTTCTTTCCACTTGCTCTTGGGTTTTCTCAAGAATGAAGGATCGGAATTATTGGGTGAAGGTTTTTCTTCATTCTTCCCCTTTGTTAAAAACAAACAAACATCTAGAATTCTTTGTTTTGGGCTCATAGAAAAACAAAGCAACCAAGAATCTTATGCAGCTTTTTCTCTTGTTTGGGGGTGAAAGATAGCAAGGTTTGCAATCCATCGTGATTTTGTTCCGTTGTTGTTTTATCAATATACGAAGGTAGAAAAATGTGTGAGCATAACTGTGGAATAACATAGGCTTTAACGTTGTAACAGAAGAGGAGTTGTCAGTGTGGTATTCCTATACACCAGCACACACACACACACACACACACACACACACACACACACACA